GCAGCTTCGGAGCACTTCTTCGTGGACCTTTTCGTCGAGCACTTAACGCTCCGCGCCTGGTCGCTAATTAAGTCGTCAATTCCGGGCGGGGCGTCGGGACGAGGTGGAACTTGGGTGCTTCCTTTAAATCTTGAGTGGAAGTTCGTTACTACACTCGGCCACGGTGAACTCCGGAAACTGATGGTTGTTACTTAGACTGCTCATATCTATCATGGTTTCCCCTCGCTCTTTCTCTCGCAGGCGTCCTTGCTACGTCGCCTCTTTCTCTCTCTCTCTTTCTCCGCCTCCTCATCTCCCCTCTGTCTCTCTTCATCTCTCTCGCCGACCTCGTTCGCGGTTTTAGCACCCTCCTCCGCGAAAGCTCCGGGAAACTCTGTCGGTAACGTTAGGTCGGGTTATACCGAACCCACTGGCGAGGCGGAGAACTCCGGCTTGAACTCCGACGGAACTCCGGACGGAAACTCGGCGTGAACACTCGGCGTGTCGCCGCCAACTAAGTTGGAGAGCGCCACCCACTATAACCTCCGTAAGGATTCCTCCGCTCGTCTAAGAGGCACCGGTGGCAGCCGGAGAGCAGACCACCTTACACGCCTCCATACCTTCGGCACTCCGCCTGCTTCTATGAACGCAGGCATCCAGCCAGGCCGCAACCATAAGTTACTACTAATGTTGTTCCCGTGTTCCGCGGCCGAATTCGTCGGATGGGATTTCGGACGGCTGCCCGGTTTTACAAAACTCCCGAACGATCTCATTAAGTCCCTCGGACATAAATCGGAGCGCAATTTTCATGTAAATTCGACTATTATCCGGCCGGCCGTGCTGGATGGATGTTAAACCGCGGACATTATACGCGAAGTCAGCGGCTTCAAAAAGCCTGAGAAACTTCCCAGGTTTCGCATAAATTTCAGCGCAACGACGCTGGAATGCCGTGGAAACATATCCTCTTGCGAAGTAGTTCATCCTTAAGCTTCTACTTATTTTCTTCTCCTACTTCGAAGGAAGCAGCAGTTCCGTCTCGCGGCCGAACTTCGACGTTCCACCACCTCGAACGAGTCTGTCGCGAAAGTTTAATTAGATCCACCTTAAGGCAATTCCAGGCCCTTCTGCCATCGGTCGCCGTAGTATCAAGTTAATGAGTCGGTAGCAAATTTCGTTCAGTTACGAAGATAGTGTCTTTAATGAATGTGAGGAAATATTCGAACCTGCTTGCTACGAAACTCGATCGGCTTTGCTACGTGAATGGTGGAAGATCCAGTTTCTGCTATCCTCTCAAAGATCTCTTTCCGCTATTAATACATTTGTACAATTTTACTGCTATAATTATAAATACATTACATCTATAAATCTTACAACAGCGAGCGTGAAACATACTCGAGCACGTTTTCATCTTACATCGAATTATCGAGAAACGCTAAAGATTCGAAAAATCATCGTAAACGGTAATACTTTTCGGCGGCTTAACCAGTTGTCTCATTTCCTACCGTGCCGCGGTGAATTCGCCTAAGTAAATTATCAGTCGCTCGGTGTAGGTAAAGCTTGGTGTACACCGGCTTCCTAGCCAACGAATCCATGTGACGACAGACGGAGGGGAGGAGGAGAAGAGAAGGGCGGTGGGACGCCAGGAGCCGGTGGGTAGCTTTGTGGATTTACACGTTACCGAAATACAAGCGGCGAACCGACCTCGACCGGGGAACTTTATTGCATTACGCCATGCGGCGTTTTTCCTATCGTCGTGCGGTCTCGTTGCACCGTGGGCTCCAACCTCATCGAATTGACCCTACTTTGGCTTAAGTCCGGGACAGAAATAACGTCCTTCGTCCTTGCGGTATCCGGCCGGCGTCGGAGAATCAACGAATTCCCCGGATGACTCTGAAGAGTCGCCCCGAGGATTCCCGACGCCGTAAGAACAGCCATTAAGGCGGCGATAATAGCCAGCGATAATTCGCCTTTGTTAATTAAAGCGTAACGAGGCGATAGCTCAAAGGTTTCATATAGTGGATCCGGCTGTACGCGATCTTCATCTTTGATCCTCCGCAATGCGACTCATGATTTATTCACGGGAAATTCCCGGGACGCTTTTATAGATCCCGATTTTATCTTCGGGCAAACTCGACAGGGATTTCGTTTATTAATGTACGCGGCTCGATCAATCTAATCGTGGTGTCTTTGTTATTTTTTAAATATTTAAACAGCACAGGTTTAAATATTGCGTTTAAATGCTGAAACAGTAGCTTCGGTTTTTCGTATTTATGTAAAAGCTGTATATTTAAATTGTTCGAGCGAAATTAAATCTGTACATCTATATTTAAATATCCGATAACAGAATTCAATCGCACGGCGGATATTAATACATCGTCATCTGGCTCGCTTATGTGTCGCCGCGCGAAAACTTTTCCATCGCATCTAATTTGCAGCGAATAATTTTTCATCCGATCGAATCTTGCACGAGTGTTTTAACGATTCGCAATTTGCAAGCGTAGAAAAGAACGATTTCGCGAGAGGAATTCTTGCGTCAAGCTGCCCCTTTTCACCGCGGCTCAACCGGATTCCGCTCCGTAGTTTCTCTCGTCGATGTTGCATTGCTGCAAAGAGAAGAGCGATTCCTTAATTTCCCATATTGTGGCTCGTCTCGGCTATCCCAGGACGCCCCGCTGCGTTATAGCGCGGTTTAATCACACTACAAGCGCGCATCCCTCGTTAGCGGGATATCGTACCCGTGGTGGCTATAATATGAGGCTACATTCCGCGCGGCGCAAAATACGGTATGCCGGGACAAAACATTTCCACTACTCGGGAGCACTTTGCGCTTGCAGTTGCGAAATCGGTTATAACCTTTCGATTTTTTTCCGCTGAGAAACGGGGAACGAATCGGCATCGTCGCGCTTTACGCCGTACATCGCGGCACGTAACGGTTCTCGATAAATGGACTGTTACGCAACTCACTTGGCCTGAGTGAGCCTGTCAAAATAATTTTTTTAATCGCGAATAATAATTTCGAAATGTGTGTTCCCGCGTGATTTATTCATACGAAAGCCGTCCAATTATTTTCTTTTTTACAGCTATGACTTTCGTACAAAATTTAAATTGATAATGTCACATAGATTTCGCGATGTAGATAACTCAAGTCATATTTTGTTTACATAACAGGATTCGATTTTCTAAAATAAATAATAATTCAATAAATAAGACGTTACCAGCATAGCGCTGGTTCGTATCTGAATATTTTTTACTTTTTTTTTTCGAAACGACGGAGAAATCGAGATGCCTCGCGCGGCTGAAAACATTCACGTCGCTGTCGATGCCTCGCGCTACCGATGTCACTGGATTTATAATGATCATTCGTGCTCACCGAGTGGGAAGCGGGGAGTAGAGCGGAGAGCATCGCGCGCGGTCGAAAAACACTCCTAAGGAAACCCGAAGAAAGAGACAGAGCTCGAGCGGAGGGGGCGCTTGCAATAATTGTGATTTACGATTCGGTCGCTGGCAAAGTAAAGCGCGGCGAGTTTGTTTGAAACAGTGACGACGCGTCTTGCAGAAGAACTCGTCGGCGAGACCGAGACGGTGAAAAGGACAACGGGGGGTGCGGGGAAGAAAGAGGAAGCGAGCTTCGCGGACTTCCTGCTTTTTGACAAATCGCTGATGGAAAATCCAGCGAGCCGTGGGAAACCGTGATATACCGGTTGGCCCCGCGATTCTGTGAGAATGATTCCAACGGTTGCGAGCCTTAATTGGCACTCTTTTCCGCGAACTCCCGGAAACCGGCGGCTTAATTAACAAAGCTCGTAATTCGCAGAGGAACGCAGAGATGTTCTTGTTAATGTTATATATGCTCATGCTACTGCTGATCGATATGATCCATTCGAGGTTCTAGAGCGAAATATGTGTGTTTTTTTTTGTTCTGCGCAGAATTCTTCGCGCCGGTTCGCAACGTCGTTGTAGATTACGCCGCGGTTGATAAGTCTGCAATGACGAACTGTGTACAATATCGGGGACGGATTTTAGCATAAGAAAGGCTTACCGAAATATTTCACAATGGCAGTGGAGCCCTCGTGCGTTTCGGATCTCGGCGACACACTCGTGTACGCGTTTCATTCTCTCCGTCTTCATCAACGCTCCGCGTCGGCCGAGCGTGTATTGGTGCAGAGGGTAGGACGCAATCAGTGCCCTTGATTTATCGTGGCAATATACATTAAGATACCGACATTAAAACTAGGGGAGTCTCTCTCGTGGATTCCGAGGCTCCATTACCGCTTAGGATAGAGAAAGGAGAGCTGTCGTCACGTTGCACATCGAAATGCTCGGGCGAGATTGAATTCTCAGCTGCGCTTGATCCGTTCGACATTTTCTAAATTAATGGCGATCGGTTACTTGCGCGCGCAGGAACGTGTCCCTTCTTGCTCATTAGCAATCGCGAGAACTGCAGATTTATCGTTTGTTTTTTTTTTTTGCTAACGATTGAAGAATGCATATTTATATTATCAATAATTTAAAAAATTATAATTGTGATTATAATTAAAATATCAGCAAATTTTTAATAAATATTGTTGGAATCTTAATAGAAAGGCATAATATACACACACGCACACATCGATATCGCCAACGTCACGATCTTTTAAGGAATTAGTTCAGAAGAAACTTATTTGTATTTCTTTAACACGCGGTGCAAAAAGTGCGAAGCAAAACAACTTGAAGTTAAGAAAGTCCGAGTTTGCGATATATATATATATATATATATATATATATATATACATATACACACACAAGGAGTTATCAAAGTCGTGATCGTGACTTTGGCGAATCGCATCACACAGCTCGCCGTGCCCCTCGACGCGTGCTCCTCTCGATCTCCCTCATCCTGCCTCTTTGCGACGAGGGGACCGAGTATCGAGTGGTCATCGAGTTCTCGAGTTCCTCGAGAACTTTGGAAGGGGTCGGCGGCGAGCTTGTCCAGTACCCGCCTGCCAATTACGGAACAGAGATCTAACCGTAGTAACGTGTAGTGTTTCCACCATTGTCCGCAGGACCAAGCGGGGCGTACAGTCCGGATGCGACGATGGGCTACATGATGGACGGACAGGCGGCCAGCATGATGCACCGGCCGCCTGGCGATCCTGCCTTCCACAATCAGTACCATTATCCGGAGTACTATGGACATCACTTATAAAGGTTTGTATCACACATTGATGCTGTAATCGACACTTTGATCAGTTTCGCGCCGGAATTTGGAATACCTACCTTCGCGATTTACACGAATAAAAATAACGGCAACCAAAGGCAATGTCATTTAAGAAACTTGTCATCAATTACCAGTTCTTATTCATCTTGAGTAAAAATATTAATACCAGTTAAGTACATGAACAAAGTAGGTTATCAACTGTTAAAAAAAAAAAAAAGAAAACATTTATATATTTTTTATCTTTAACATCGAAGCAAAATTATCGCGCGAAATTGAAGACCGGCAACCTCTGCGTGTTCCAGAAGTACTTGCACGACGGAACGGCCGGTGGACCGACGGTTCTAGCGACATGAAAAGCGTGACGGACCTACCGTGTTCCAGCTGGCATAGACCAGAATCGGAGGACAACGATGATCCGTGGTCTCCAGAACGATCGCCATGGTAGCCCCGACGGTTTCTTACCATGCCGCATGTCGACATTCGTGACATTCGGATATCCAAGAATGAGAGGCAGAGACATGGAAGGAAAAGGGCAAAGGTTCCCGGTTCAAGGAGGCAAGACGAGGCGGATGGAACGCCACAGGAGGCCGATGAGAAGATCGTGGAACCATCGAAGGAAGGACGATTGCGCGAGAGACAGAGCGAAGTCGTCGCGGAAAGTGGCGATGCGAGGAAAAAAAGGACACGAGGAGAATTAAGCCGCGGCTTGGTCTGGAGAGTGACGCGGTCGCGAGGAAATTCATGTGATTGTTCTTTGTACAAATATCGCGGTGTAATATTGTAGTGATTGAAGAATTTAAATGTTAAATTTTAATACCGTCGCGATCGAAATATATTAATGAGATATAAGTGATATATAGGCAATTTAGCGGGCATGTACATTAAAAAAAAGAGGCAAACCCGGTGCTCGCACGGAATAGAATGTTCAAGTGCACAGACGACGCAAGAGAGGTATAAAAACAGAGTACGAGAGAAAAAAAGGAAAGAGAGATACGAAGAAAAAAAAAAGTAAAGTGGGAGTATATATATATATATGTATGTATACATATGTATATATATATATATATGTATGTATATATATATATATATTATAAATAAATATAAATAGCGAGACAAAGGAGATGAAAAGAAAAAGAAGGTTATTAAGTGGCACGGGAGATGTTTAAAGTTATATAAAAACAAAAAACGGACGCAACCGCGGAGGAGAATTAGGCCGAATGATATCGACGCGTGTGCCGGACTCGAGCGTCGACCATTCACTTGCATATAAATATAGGAGACATTAAAATTTGTACAGTTATTAATTATAAATGAATTTACTAATTAAAGGAAGAATATATTATATATATATATATATATAAATATATATATATACATAACACGGAAAGTAAAAAAACGTGTGACCCCGGTTGTAATATAAGTCGAGCGTTGTAGTTGGACTGGGACAATTATCGTATATTGCCGACGCGTATTAGGCAGAAGAGAATTTTTCCGCGCAATTCGAGAGAGAAGAGCGGGAGACGCGAGTGGCGCGAGTGAGAGAATATAAGTGAGTAAACGTGCTGAGGGATTTCTAGATATAAATAAAAACGGAGATATAAATACCAGTGAAAACGCGAGAGAAAGAGAGGATTGACGCTCTTCGTCGTGCACTCGATGACGCAGCGATATCCCTCCGAGAGTCCCACCCTCTAAAATCCCAACCCAATCCAACCCCCGCTCCCGCACAAGTGACATACACTCGTACACACACACACGCCGAGACGCCATTCTCTCAGCTTTCGCGGAGAGACACACGCGTATATGCGGACACATAACCGTACACGTACACACAGCTATACAGAAACATAGCTCTCCCACGACCATAAAGATAATTAAACGGAAATACACGTTTACAGTTTATTATAATATATTCTGTATAAATAGTTAATTCAATTGTGAAAATAAGAAAAGGAAGAGGACGGAATTCGATTGGGAGGACCGTTCTGCATGCGCGTATCAGCTTGCACTCGCTTTTCCGACGCGTTGACATTTCCCGCGGCAGAAAAACGAGAGTGGGGAGAGCGGAAAGAGTCGGGCAAGAGATCGAGAGGAACGGTCCGTCGTTATTTCCTTTATATATTTTCAATGAGAGTTCGCGGAATGCAGAAGGAAGAGTACGCGCGAAATAAGGAGAGAAATAAACGACCGACAAAACGATATAACATCGCGTATCATACCGCGCGTATATATTAATAAGCCAATACATACGATGTTATGATCTCGGTGTACGTATTTTCGTAAGACAGCGGAAATGCACGTCGATATGTTCATTATCTCTCCCTGATTTCCGCCTAACGAACAGCATCGTACTCACACTGACACCTCGGCGATCACAATTGAGACGAGTTGAAATTAATGTTAAAATCCGTTTCCGAAAGAAATTGAAACGCGAATGTACGATCGGATTGTATCGAACGTACGCTCGTTGAAATTGCATCGAGTCCCTGAAAGAAATCGCGACGCGCGACTTGTGGCCGCTCGTAAAGTTTACTTCTGTTCAGGACTGCTCGCGTATCCATCAATAGATTCAGCGATGCTGATCGAGATTTTGTCCAGCCAGATGCTCGCTTATGACGAGTGGAAACGAAATACTCGTCGAGGTGCTCACATCAGCAAGGCTCACGCGCTTTTGCAATCGGTACTCGCGGACGTTCCTCTCTCTCGAAAGCAATTAGCAGTGAATTCGCAGTGCAGGGGAGTCCTTTCGAATTTGACACTTTCCTTATCCTTTCCTCGTCGACAAAGACGGACCGGCATCACCGCGATACCGCCGCCTTTTTGTTCTTGTATGCGCGCGTTTCTTTGCACACACGTTCAGTCGCGACTTATTGTTACGGCCGATCACAAAAAATCAGGACACGAATTCTCGTCTTTTTACTTACCATTTTCCTCGTACTTGTTTTTCCTTCCAATTCGCGCGTCCGTTTTTACGTCACCGATATTCCGGTATTTTTTGTTACTCCGTACGATTCGCCATGCAGCTTTGTTAAAATTACAATTGTCCTTTTCATCCGATAACATGTTAGTTTCGAAGGCGCAATCGAACGAAGGAAGAAGTAGAATGCAATCAATTTCCAATCTGTATTTATCTCTTCCAATCGCTTGTCCCTCGTTCCCCCATTACGGTGTTGTGGAGGAATCTCTATATTTCTATACGAATCTTATCGCGCGCACGTCCCTGATATACGTAAACATGTTAGCGAGCAAACGATGATAGAGAGTAAGAAAAAGAAAGAAACGAACACGCAATTGAGGGAACAGGAGCGAGGGGGAAGAGCGTTTACGAAGAAGGGGAATGAATTTTCGAGAGACCTTTATAACGCGATACGCCAGACAGAGCATGTTTATTAAGAGAGAAAAATTTTAATGAAATTAAAAACGTCGATTATACGTGAGAGCGGATTCACGACGAATAAGGGTACGAAATAATAAAACCGCCCCTCGTTAACGTCACACGCGTCACGCGTGGACGCGTGTCTCGTTGATCTCTCGACGATCGAGACACGACGGTTCGTTCGGAAGGATGGATCGTCGGCGCCATCCTCTCTGATCGACGAAGCGCGACGAGCGAAAACGAGAGAACGACGCGAGTAGAGGAAGAGGGCGCGAGAAGAAACAGAGAAAGAGCATAAGACAAAAATTTTATCGATATTTTCAATACGCCCGCATACACGCAAATCTTGTATAAAAATTTTAATGTAACACAACTGCTCCTGCCGAGAGCCGAGCGGCGCGTCGGGCGACGCGCCGGTGTTCCTCGCGACATATCCCACACGAAATCTGTCCGAAAACGACACCGCGCAGCAAGTTCCGAGAACGACTCCGAGATTTGTGTCTGCGAGCCATCCGGTTTTTTTCGCACGGCTAAAAGAGGAGGAACACCGGCGTTGCAAACGTTGCGCCAAACGCGCAATCGGCGTTCTAGTATACTAAACTAAAAAAAAAAAAGATAACCCACGTATACCGAAAGACTCAGGTGCGAGAAAAGTCAGTATAGTTACGGTCCTGGTTAAATCGGAAGAATTTTACTCCAATTCGTAAGTTACGTAGCGCGTTCGTCGCGCGAATGCGTGGCTCCTCCACGTGCACCGCGCGCCCATCGATTGTGCGATCCTCGGCCGTCCCTCTTCAAGATAAGTAGTAAAGCGCAAAGAGAAGGATCCTGCGGTTCGTATAAATTCAACGGATTCTTCGATACGCGCCGCGCCAACCTTCTCGTCGGGGAAATTAATCGCGATCACTGCGACGGATGAAAACGGTATACGATAAGACGGACGGAAATTGTATACGTTGCGCGCGAGATCGCGCCGCTGAGATTACGCACGCGAGACCGTCGGCGAGGATCTCTTAACGTGATGATTTTGATTAATTTTATCACTTGACGATCCGCGCACATGCACAAGGAATCAGTTTTAAGATACGTAAGTAATTTCAGCACGCGTCGATCCCCGCGATATCAAAATAATGTAATGCTAAAAGTAATTATATCTATGAATAATTATCGAGAACGAGACAATCACAAGAATCTACTAATCGACGACGGCCGATGTTTCTCCTGTCGTCGTGCGCGGTACCAAGGGCGACGGTGCATTTTAACGAATTATATTTGTTGCTCGATATATTGTTTAATTTTGTTGATACCCGTCTTTGGCCGCGCACGACAACACATTATACGCGGTCGTATACGAACGATTGATTTCCCGACGAAAAGTTACATCTGAAAAAACAATTGACAACAAATATATTTATAAAATTGATTGCGAAATAACCCACAAAATACCGTACTTATACGTTTGTAATTAATATTATTTTTATTTTTAAATAATATTATTTGCAATATTATGTGGAAAAGCGATCTATTGAAATATTGTTATACATATATTTACAAGAAAATTCAACATACAGAATTATTTTGGAAAATTTGACAGATGCGTTTCGCGGATGGGAAGATGATCGCACGATCGAGCACGCGCGCGGATATCGGCACGACCCGAGCAAAGATCGGAGCGACCGGACGTCGTATTGGCTGTTCGTTTTATAAATGAGTTCACTCGATTGAATCATCGCCTTAAAAATGTATACGAAGTAACAGTAAGGTCTATCTAAGTAATAATCATGTTAGAGGGTAAATCGTAACAAAGATTTTATGAGCAGCGACACGAGCGACGAAGGCAATGGGAGAGAGGAAGAGAATAAATGCGCGTACGTATGTGTGAAAATAAATATGAATGGAATAATGTATAAGAGAGAGTGAAAGAGAGAAAGAATATAGCGGTTGAGAGGAAATGCATGTGTATGTATGTGTGAGCAGTAGCAAGCCGGAGATGAAACAGTGTATAATTATTGTATAATTACGGATGATAAAAATGACTACGACGTCGACGATTGCCAATGATCATAATGATGATGAGACAGCTCATTCGTGTCATCGTGATAAAGATCACGGCGACTATTATTATGATCATGATAGAAGTGTGAATCGATCATAACGGGGTCTGTAAGCACTGATATGATGGTGACGCGTCACGATGTATAGTAAGCTAAAAATTTATTATATCGGTATGGAATCAGATTTTTGCAACTGTTTGCGTATTGAAGACCTATCAAAGCCCTAAAGTAAGGAAAGAACTACAAATAAATTAAAAAAAAAAAAGAATGAAATGAATTGTGTTCTGCTTTGTAAATCGTATCGCTCTTCGATATTAACTTACGATTGTGATAGCAAGAGGGGAAAAGAGAGAGAGTGAGAGTGAGAGAGAGAGAGAGAGAGAGAGAGAGAGAGAGAGAGACGAGTAAAAGAGAGGAAGCGAGATGCGGGTGTGAAAATGTGTGCGAGGGAGAAAAATGTGATTACGGTGTAGTTATGTATGGCAGTCGAAAATCCTTTCTACGTGCTTATCGCGAGCGGAGGAGACGTGCTCGTTGCCCGGATTGTACACTCTCGCGTATACGAAAGATAAGGGAAATGTGGAGAAACGAAACGTGTGGAGATCCGCGAGACCGCGCCTGCGGTCAAGAGTTGAACGGAGGATCGTAGATCTCCGTATCGGGATACCGCGCGTTGATGTAAAGTATTAAGTATTATGGGACTACGTGCATACATATAGCTGTACTAAAGGACGCAAGCGTCTCGAGCCATCACAGACACAGGTACACACACGCACAGTGCACACATAAAAAAACGTACACACACCTACACGACACACGGACACATCCCCACACACATATATATACACACATACACACGAGTGCAAGGCACACAGAGAGACGAAAGAGATCACACTCGATCATTTGTGTACTTGAAAACTGACTCGGTTCTGTTTCATTAAACTCACGGATCGAACACGTGACGACGATGAAAGGAAGGACGATGTCAAAGGTGGTCTATGTTAGAGAGTGTCCATTGTATAGTGTTTTTTGAAACGTGAGCATTAAATGCTACATCTTGTGTACACTCGCTGTGTTGCACTTCATTATGCACGCTCGTGAGAAAACGTCGCGACGCCGCTGATGCCGATTAGTCTCGCATGAAATTCGAAAGAGACGACGTTAACTCTCTCGATCGCAGCTGTGCGGTATTATTTTCCAACATGAATCGATTTAATTTACCTCTTTTTCTTCTGGTTGCACTCGAAGTTCTGTGACATAAAATTAAAAAAAAATATGAACGGGTAATAATAATTCGATACCGAAGAGATTATAATTTTATTCGAGCATCACACGCGTCTCGCATTTTGTCGCGAGTGTTTCCATACCTGAAATTCCTTCAAATCGATCCTCGATTTTTTTTTTCAAGAAAAATAGCTGGAAGACACAACTGTCACGATACATTGAATTTTATTAGACTGATAGCATGATGTACAATTGAATATCGGGGGCTGTGTAACAGATCTCGTTGAAGAATCGCGTGACAGTGAGGAAACGCCCCCACTGGCGCTTAACGGAAGGGTAATCTGCAGAAGAACGTAAACTCTTGTCAAGATCGTTGAAATGGGCGACATCGTCGTTTCAAAATCGGCGGGCCACTCCTCGTATGACCGACGTTTTATAGCTCGGAGATCTTGGCGGATGAGATGGGGCGGAGGGTTGTTAGCGAGCTGTCGATGGCACCGCTTTGTTATCCGCCGCCATCCCCGTAGTCGTTTCTCCGGACGCGGCTGAAAAGCGAAAGGGTGCCGTCGCTGTATAAAACACACATTTGCGATCCGCACGCATCCCTCGGACCGAGAGTTTCCTCCCCGCATCTCTTTCTGTCTCGGCGCACCGCCCGCTCTGAAATATGATAGGGCGGGTGGAGGACCAGAGAGCATCGCGGTGTTGCTGTAGGTGCCAATTACCGCTGATGGTTATTCCATGGAAATGGACCTTGTTACGCGGCACCGTTGAGAATCGGGGAAGGTACCAATTATTTTTGCTGCCATCGATGCTTCCTGCCAGGCGTCATCCGGCGAAAGCGCCGAGTCGGCAGTTCACCCGGCGTCGTCGGTGCCAGAAGTTAACGAGACACGGCTGTGATATCGAGGAATGCGCGGCAGCCGAAATTTTCCGTCCCTTTCCTTCTGTCCACCTCTTTGCGGAACCGCCCTCTCCATCTCTGCGAAACAAACATTAGTTATTTTCAAGCTAACGATATTAAGTCGATATTTATATTAAAATGTAATAATATTTATAATATTAGTTTAAAATTTATGAGTTAAACATGCGTAATCTTTGTTTCATTTCACTCAAACATGTTATTTAAAAAAATTATTTTTTTACTTGAATATATAATTTCATCAATAATTGAAAATAGTAATAAAACGCATCTATCTTATCGAAACAGATTCTTTTGCTCTTTTTTCGCTCTGTAATTGATCAAGCAATAAAGCAATTGACAGTCAAATTATCTTTATATTTCTCCGCAGAGCGTTGCTAAAATGAGCCAGTTGGGCGGAAGAAAGTTTCGCGAGCGGATTCGGCTGCTCATTCGCGAAGCGGGAGCAATTTCTGCATTAGCCGGAAATCGCGCTGGTGGCTTTAATCAGCCGTCGAACCAGGCGATCCGTGAAGCCGTTAGAAAGTTCGGCGAACTAACTCGGTCGTCGTCTAACGCGGTGGTGCGCGTTAGGAAGCCGATAATATATTAGACGCGGGAAGGCCCCGCGAGCAAACAATCTCGTAATGGCAGGACGGCACGGCTGACTGGTGGCGCGGTAATGAGATATTAGAGCTGAGCTTGGCCTGCTAGAAGGGAGTGGCCACTTCGGGGGTAGTAATGCGCGATAGGCGCCCGTTTATGTCTCACGAAGCCGGGGGGTTGTTATTACGAAGCACTGCCAGGATGAGGGCTAGTATCGTTTGCTCTCTCTCGGGATACGATTACGACGCCGTACGGCTACCTCGATCCTCGCTCAACGTGCTTAGATCGGGAAACCGACACTAAGAATGAACTTCAAGCCCTTGGTGTCCGATGTGCTATTAACTTTCAATTTTTAACGCAACACGCGCCTCTTATTTTTTCTTTATTTCTTTCGATTCCAGTAATATAATCGTAACATTTTTTTAAGTGGATTATTTTTATCGATTGCATGTATATATAATAAAATCGTTATTAATTGTACACGAATGATGCTTGAAAAAAGATTTCTCCAAAAATGTTATGAGTTTGATGCTGCAACGTTTTTTTACACATCACTGCTCAGTTATTAATTTAATTTTATTGCGAGGAATATCATTTTCGAGAGACAAATTAAAGACACAAATGTAACATAAAGTGCAAATTGCATGTTTTGATTACGGAGTCATTGTGCAAGTTATAGCTAAACCGGCCGTGATAGTACGTCGTCAAAGTAATTGGTGACTAAGCGACAGCGCTTGTACGTATCAAGTGTCAACGACGCATAAATAGGTCGCATTCGGTGGATAGACAGGTCGAATGTGGCGTGTTTCGTGCAGGTGCAACATGTTAACGAAAAGCTCGTACTGACAGTCATTGATTGGCAATGATCAAAGCCGTAGTCTGCCACTCAATGTACTCGTAAATCGCGTATCTGAAATGCATATTAAAAGTTATGATGATGTAAAACGCTTCATCGCACATATGACTCCCTCATTCAATATATGTAATTTATCGATTCTTTGTATCTGATGCTTTGATTTGACTTTGCCATTTCATTTGCACTTTTTATTGGTTTTGTCATGCGCAAAATTTATTTAATAACAAAATTGTAGCTGTCAAAGTATCTATGAACAATCATATAGCTGGTATACATTAAAAACCTTTGCTAAACAATTTAGAAAATAATGAAAGAATCTCGTGATACAAAAGTTCTACCAACAGAGAAGACTTCAATACACAATAATTCTATTAGGACGCCGAAAGCTAAGTTCAAGTGAAATCTTTTTCCAGATTATTCCAGAGCAGAACAACTCTTCGAGGAGCCCGAAATTGATTTCTTTCTTTTTCGGGCATAAGTAATCGGCAGTGGTGGTCGCGGGAATTACTCGTGCCATTCATCAGCGCTGCATAAACAGACCGCGCGAGATCCATTCCCCAATAAACAGCTCGAGTGTGGCATGATTCCGTCAGGGTAGCACAGTAGCCCAGAAGCGGGTGGCGAAGTGGTAGCAGGCGGCCGACTACCGACGGTCGTCGGCGGTCGTCGGTGTCTCTCCCTCTCGTTTCACCACTCTCCGCCGCCACCACCGCCGCCGCCGCCGTCGCCGCCGCCGCCGCCGCCGCCGCCGCCGCCGTCACCGTCCTCTCTCTTTCCCTCGCGCCCACGTACGGACAAATGGGTGTCCCTGCATATGTAAAAGCGGCGCTGTGTTCGGCTCACCCTCGGCCAGCCATTTGTCAATGTCAAGGCGCGAGCGCCGTAACCATGGCAACACCCCCGGCTAGCCGGGGGTGCGAGTGCGAGCGAGTACGAGCGAGCGGCGCGGGCAACCCTCGGTTTCGCGCGACTTCCACCCCCGCCGGCGGAACGCAACCCCCGGGCTCGCTTCCACCACTACCGTCGCCGCTATCCGCTACTACGCTCTCCGCAGCCGCTGCTGCTACCCTTCGTCCCGCCGCCGTCATCCAGCCGCGACCGACTCGGTCCTCGATACTTGTGCCACAAGCGCACGCGCCCTCACGTTTTTCGTAACTCCTGAGCGCGCTACCCTTATTCTTGAGGGCGCCTCAGGACGAGCAGCCCGCCAGCTGTTTTCGACGTTGATGATATTTCGATGTAAACGCTCGAATCGTTTGATAACAAAGATCTTTGTCGAAATCAACAGTTGTCAATTTGAATTTTGCAAGATAGAAATGTGCAAATGTCAAAATAAACTTTAGAGATTTCTCTCCGAGAGATTTTGGATTTGACTTCAAACCATTATACAAGTATCAATTCTGGAGCGATTTTGAATGTATTGTACAATAAATCTTTACGTTTTACTATTGAAATAAACTTTGTCATCATTATTTTCATCTTCATATTTCTTTATTATAATGATTTCAATTTCATGTTCTCAGTTTTCCCAAAATTATGATAAATACATCCTTTCTTTCTCGAAAAGAGAGTGAAAATTAAAATTAAAGAAAGATATTTTAATTCATACATGTTGTTACGAGAACTTTATACCTTTTATATTCATCTGTGCATAAAATATTTCTACGCTCATATAAGCATCATAATCCTATAATATATTACAAAGGATTTCTTTCAAAAAGAGTAGCTCATCAATTGGCAAATAACATGTTTAGTTTATATACGCAGACGTCCGAAAATATCCTGAATAGCAGTCGGCGATCATCCAGCGACGCCTTATAAGGTCCTTCCGTCAGAATCGGGCGACGCGGCGTAAAAACGCTCAAAGACACGAACGCATCCCCCTGAGAAATTCTTTATCGCGTCGTAATGTACAGAAAACAAAGAGAGACTCGCAGGCGCGGAAACGGCAGGAATAGTGGCGCAGACCACGAAGGAGAAAGATAACGTTGAAAATGTGGAGGAAAGAAGAGAGAATGCCTGCTGTACACTAAGAGAAGTGCCACGAAAAAGAGAGAGAAAGAGCGAGAGAGCAAAGGGGTGACGGGCGAGAGTTGCGGGGAGGAAGAGAGACGGAGGACGGCGATGGTGGAGAACGGTCGTCGAGCGGTCGGTCTAGGTGGTGCGGGCGGTAACGACTGCATAGCAAGACAGCTCGCTTAAATATGCAGGATGGGCGGCGGCGGGCAGCATTGTAGCGTGCTTGTAGCACGGAGCAACGGGGTGAACTCGGTACTGAGGGAAATGAAGGGGACGAACGCGCAGGAGAGGGAACGGGAGGTAGATGGGGAAGGAAAGGGGAGACGGAGCAGCGGGAGAGAGAAACAGGGAGAGAGAGTGAGAGAAAGAGAAAGAGGGGTGAGAGGAAGGGAAGTGAAAAGAGAGAGTGCGAGCGGGGCTTGGAGGAAGGAAGAGAAAACAGAATGGGGAGGTCGGAGGGAAAGAGAGAGAGAGAGAGAGAGAGAGAGAGAGAGAAGAGAGAGAGAGAGAGAG